AGAAAAGAGGCCGCGCCGCGTAGGAGTGTCTTAAAGCAAAAAAAGAAACAAACCAATGTTAAAATTTTGTTTTTTCAATTTTAAAGTACAAAAATGTTTGAATTGAATATGATATGATATTTTAAACATGTAATTAAAACAAAAATTTAAATTATAAATGGTTAATAAAAAAGAAAAAACACCCAAGGCCAAAATTTTTTTTTGAGTTTTTTTTCTATTTAAGTGATATACATACATACATTCTATATACGAAAAAACTCGAACCTTAAATAAGGATTTTCCAAAATATCTCAATTCATACGCCACTTATCGTATGTGGAGTTATTCGTTTTGATGTAAGCAATATACATTATAAATGTGAACCGTAAGGAGCCATAAATGCGCAATTTTAAATATATTTCCTCAGGTTCTGAGCTAAGTTTGAATTTTCAAGTCTCTAGTTCATCGGGAAGTTTGTTGAAAATCGATTTCAAAATTTGATTACGTACAGGGTAAACTTAATAAAGGCTTGTCATTAAATGTGTTTATTTAGTGAATTCATTAACTTAAAGTCTTTCATTTTATACATTTTGGAACGATTTTCCGTCATCCCTTTTAAATTTGGTTTGGATACAAACCGTTTTCGGCGTTGTGGCATTTTCAGTGTAACTTTTCTTCTTTAAATTTTTGATTAAATATCCTGATTTGAGTTCTATGAACAATCTTGGTTGAGGGGATAAGCCTTGCACGAATTGCATAGTTCACTCTACCCAGATTGTACTGTATTTCAGAAAAAACACAAAAATTGTTTTTATTTTCTCTTCTGAAAGCTAAATATCGTCCTTTTAAACAAAAGAATAACAAACACCTTTTTTTATTTATTACAACAAAAGTTGCCATTTTATGAAATTTTTTTGGAATAGTGTACGACGCTTTTTGTTTAATTTTATTGCAAATTTTTTATTTGGTATCGAAAAATTTATTTGAGACATTTTTTTCAGATGGTTATGCTCTGATATTAATTCTCAGTATTTTTAGCCTTAAGAGGCTTCCAGACGTTATATATGTAATTAATTTTATAGAGAAAATTAATTCTTTTTAGTGGAAAATTAACTTTACAAAAATACGAAATACATTCATGCATATTGCAGACAACGAATTTTTCGATTTTTGCCCACTAAGGCGGCACTGTCCCATGATGCGACATAAATACGTCCCGAGATCCCGAGATGTACATAGTGGGCATTAAATCCCGGGATTCTTTCCATTTCCGGAAATCCCGGGATTGCAGCTCCGGGATCCCGAGATTTTCACTGATTCATTTACAGAATGAAAGAGATGTTGGTAACGAAAAAAATAATTAATTTGACATGAAACACGAGAAATACAGAATACCAAATTTTTAATTCAAAGTGAACTTGAGCCATTTGCAATTGAAAGTGAATTTCAGGACCTGCCTGAATAACTGTTCTGGTTCAAATATTTTGTGCACGAACTATGTAATAACGCATAATCTGGTAGCAATTGAAAACACAACAAGCTTTTATAGTGTGACAGAGTTGTTCTTCATTTTACTTTGTTGCCTTTTTTGGAAAAGGATCTCTGCAAATACGAGTAAATATTTTTGACAAGTAATATAGATATTTTAGAATAAAAATATTTAAACATCAAATTACATACTCTTTTACTAAGGGGCATTATGCTCCCCTAAAATGCAAGAAGTTGTAATGAAGTCGAAATCCCGAAAAATCTCAGGCCCCGTGATTAGAATTTTTACATCCGAAATCTCGATTGTTAAAATGCTTCAGGATTGAATGCCCTAGTACATACATATGTATATACTTGTTTCTGAGCAATAACAATAATTATGAACCATGATCGCAGTGACGTGACACTAAGAGAAATAAAACTAGAAAAGTGCTTAGGTGTTTTATTTAATATAATTAAAAGTTTTAATAAAATTAAAAAAAAAGTTTCCTAAGGACAATGAAATTGTTAAAAATGTTTAGTTTTGGTGAAAAGTTTGAAGAAACAAAATATTTATGTACATATATGCATACATCCTGTCTAGAAAAATAACGGGGACCGGATGATTTTGCTAAATACATACATAAGTATGTACGTTTAAGTTATATTATATAACTTATACATGACTATAAAAAAGGTGAATCACAAAATTTTAAAATCTTAACAGTTCTATGCAATTCGCAGCAGTATAATTGTGCCAATATAAAATCTTACATATACTACAATATATAGAAATTAATTGCTTATTTTGTACCAAACCGAATTTCTCCACGGATTTTCTGGATTTGGCTATTTATTCTACTCGTTATTTGCTGCAGAAAGTCTTTTGAAAAAACCCACACCTTTTCTAGAAGACGCCAGAATTTTTAGTAGAATTGAAGACATACTTAAGTACATTAAGACATACTTAAGTACATTCTCCTTCTCTCCTTTATTGGCGCTGTAACCGCCTAGGCGATTTTGGCCGAGTCCGAAACAACACGCCAGTAATTTCTGTTCTGTGCCAACTGACGCCAATTGGAAATGCCAAGTGAAGCCAAGTCCTTCTCCACCTGGTCGTTCCTACGCAGATGAAGCCTTCCTCTTCCTCTGTTACCAGCATCGCTGCACGAACGACATGGCCAAGCCAGCGGAGCCGCTGTATTTTAATTCGCTGCACTATGTCTATATCGTTGTAAAGCTCATACAGCTTATCGTTAAATCGTCTGCGGTATTCGCCATCGGCAACGTGTACAGGTCCGTAAATCTTTTGCAGAATCTTTCTCTCGAAAACTCCAAGAGCCGCTTCATCAGATGCTTTTATTGTCCATGCCTCCGCGCCATACACCAGCACAGGCATAATGAGTGACTTATAGAGTGTGATCTTTATACGATGAGAAAGGACTTTACTTCTGAATTTCCTACTCAGTCCAAATAAGCACTTGTTGGCAAGAGTGATTCTCCGTTACAGGAAATTATTTAAATTTAAATTGAAAGTCATGTGAATTTTAATTAGTTATAGATCCCAATGTACACAAAGCAAACATTTTGCCATTCTTTGAGACATTCTTGATTCTCAAGTGGATATACATACAAAAGTTTTCTTCAAAATTTTTCCCAAGGCTTGACTGAAATTTGAGTTACCATTGATATCAAAGCTTTTCTTAAGTGGGGAACACATACTATTTCGCATACAAAAAATTTGCCTTTTTGTTTTGAAAATTGGTTGGTTCTTCAATTGAGATACACTTAAAAATCAACATTGGAAATTGGAAATCTCCACTTGACCTCCAACCAATATTGCCAGTTTCACAGTTTTAACCGTAAATTACATTTTTTAGACAAGCTTACAGTTGCTTAACTACCACCAATACAATTTACAGTTTTGAACGAATTGGTTTAAATTTATCTTTCGGTTGTTTTGTAAGTCAATCTCTACGACCAAAGGGTACCGAAAAGGAGCAACGTCTCCTCCATTGAAAGAAATTGTTTAAGCTGTCCTGTGCCCTACAGTCGCCACAGCAAATGTGGAAAAGATACTTTTCCAAATCAATTTGAATAAAATAAAAAATAAAAAAGAAATTACAAAACTCTCTGGTAGTTTAGAACTAAAGACTTCTTAAAAAAATGATTGAGGAGGTACTAAATAAAATCAAATGCTCAAAAAATTAACAAAGCAATTTACGATGTGTGTGCAATGTGATTTAAATGTCCAATTTTATAAAAACTTTTTTTGTTTAGTTAAATATAATTTTAACAGTTTATGTTATTTTATTTTAAGTGAACCGTTTTTTTTTTCATGTATATTTAATGAAATGGAAAATCCTAAATTTTTTAAAACCTCTCTTCGTTTTGGAAGGTTGCAGTTGTTTAGTCAAAAATAAAGCTTTTTGGGAAAATTACAGTTTTTTGAATAAAACTCTGCTCCAACCCAAATTTTTCTTGGGATACCAACCCGCAGTACAAATCTGAAAACGCCGGTATGGGCGGGTTTGGGGCGTAACAATTGAACGTCGGAATGATCGGGATCGGCATTGAATAGTTAGTCACGCGCCCATCTCTAATATGAATACTTCCCATAGCAAAAAGGAAAGAGTGACACCGTTAATCTTCAAATGCCTAAAACTACAGTCATGGACAGGTAAAACTATGCTAATTGTCTTTCCAAGACTGTACTATTTTGACCGCATATTCTGAACATTCCTCCGGATGTGCCACAATCATATATTTTACGTGATGGCAAACATTTTTCCAGCAAGAAATTTCAACTTCTCTCCTGCCACTTTGCGCTATAAATTTTTGATTAATTAATCATTTTTTGGTCTGCATAAACGCGATGTGAACAAAAATCATGATATTGTCAATGTTATTGTGGCTTATTAACATTTAATTTTAATATTTTTATTGAGCTTTGTACCACGATTATTTGATTAGGAAAAATGGAAAAAACAACAAAGTCTAAGCGGTAGAAGTTTTAGCAGCTATGTATTTCGGAGACACCACATCTCCTCATCAGAC